TCTCATGGTTACCAGCATAGGTTTCTTACGTGTAATATGTGATTACTCCAGAAAGTAATACGTAAAATGACTGTGTAGGATGTACTCCGTGCAATTTATAAGCTGGATCGAAACCGTGGTTACGTAACAGGATAGAATTTGGATTTAGCACATGTATGCAGACAATTTTGCAGTCACCATCATAAATCGCACTCATCTGTGCAGCATATGTGCAATATCTCGTTATTTACACAATCACAGAGCTGTAATGAGTTCAGAAGATCACCTACCAACAGCAATCATGACGGCTTGTCCAGTACTCCTCCTCGTAAGAGCACTTCGGATACTTTCTTTGGAGCAGTCAACAAATCCAGTAAGAAGTAGCCACTCTCTTCTAGGAATATTACCAAAGTCATTCAGGAATTCGAGTAGTTTCTCTGATATTCAGCAGTCCTTTACCTGATCATGAGATAAAAGTTCGATCTCAACGTGCAAGCAACAAATCGAAGATCTGGAAACTGAACAAACGGAGCTCGTATTCTTCTTTCTTGCACAGAGCATAGAGGAAAAAGGTCTTCATGACTGAGTAGACCCTTTCATGAGGACTGCATTCGTATTCTACTCAGAACAACTGTGGAATCCTTCAGCGTGCGTGGGTAAAATGCAAACAACTGCGGTGACAGCTTGTGTACAGAATAGAACTCAATATTTTCCACATGAACACATTGACAATCAACAGGTCACCAAGGTTGAAAGGCTTCACTTTTGTAGGCAAAACTCCGGCACTCATTCTCTAGAGTTGTGCCTTGTTTCGTTGCTACCTGCAACTGCCACTTCATGTCATCTCTCTTAACCCCTCGACTGGTCCTCAAGGAAATTACTAGTCGGTTACATAACCCTCTCCTCTGCAGAACCTTGATTGCTGAAATACGGTTCCCGCGGTATAAACGTCCTCGAATGGATGTAGGCCTGATATACATCTGATGCTTACCTTTCTGGTTTGATTGCCGAGAAATTCGCTCACAAAAGATGAGTACAGTCCGAAACATATTATGCCGTGTGGATGACATGCAAAAATGTAATTCTGGAACAATCGCGAATGAATTCGGCGTTTTCTCGAAGCGAAGTACCATCATTTAGATAAAGTTATCGTCTCTTGCATCTTATTGGCTTCCTCACAGAAACGCTTGTTAATCAGATTCGACTCTTATGTCAGATTGTTATGATCACAGTGACAGCATAGAAAGGCGAGTGGAATAACAAGTGGCAAAAAAGAAGGTAGCTCCTTCTTGTAAACCTTACAATGCACAGCATGGGACGAGGGCTACCGCGACCTGCTTCGGTTTAGCTCTTCCGTTATTTTTAAATGCCTTCAATTGGTGAGGCCGCAGAATTTGCACAGTATCTGACCCTGAGGTCTGCGTGTTGAGTAACTAGCTAGTTCCCATGCAGCGCATTAGCAATGTTGGCCCTATCCTGCTAATTAGGCGCTGAGGGACGAGGTGGAGTGTTGCAGAAGTGATCTATTGAACGTGTATCCCACCAATGCATGTGATTGGCCTTATTCATGTAAATGGTACGCTCAGGAATCTTGGAGCTATAGAAACGCTAACGGACTTATTATCTGCAGGATCAACAGTGGTAGTAGAATATTTTGAAAAAGTCAAGTGAACTTACGCGATCTGCAGGTAAATCAACGGTTTTGTGAACGGTTGATGGGAAATACTTGTTGCACCAGTCATTGTACCTGCACCTGAAGTGCTCCCATATCGGCTCTATCGACGTCTATGTGCCTTAACAAACTTAACAACAAACTTTATCATCCATCGATTTTTGTAGCCACCGTTTTGCGGCGATTTCCTGTCATACAAAAACCATAACATGTACAGAAACAAAATCCGCCACTGAGAAGTGAAGAACTGAAAATGACTGTTCGAGGCCTCTACGAAACTATTCTCGATCAACCTTGACCCTGACCACAGATTAAAATTGAGCCAGCATAGGAATTTAGATATCTACCAGAATGAATGGTAAAGTTATGCCCACTGCGATCATCGGAAAGATCATTATGTACACTATGAAGACGCCGAGCGTGTGAACTTTCCTATCCCATGGCTCAGTGAGTGGCGAGAAGTCTATGCCAAGCAGTTGTACCA